GTGTAGAAGAGACGTCGTGGGTTGTTCGTCACTGGAAATGCGTCGCAGTGCGCTGCTGCCATGGATAGAACCCAAGGAGACGCGCCACTGCTTGTGATGGCCTGCCACCGGACCGGTCAGAAATCAACAAGGGCGTTCATCGTAGGATGCTATTACCGGTGGGTCTTAGGCATCGATGTGGTTGTTCGTGGTTAGGCATCGTCGGAGGAGAGCACGCACGAGGGGCTGTCGGAGAGGAAGAGAAGAAGGGAAAGGGGATTGGCGGCTCCCATAGAATAAAGGGGAAGGAGAAAAGAAAATTAGGGTTGTTATGTTTTCTTTTTGTTTTAATTTTATTTTTAGGGTTTTGGCAAAAGTATTGATATATGTTCATATTCTCAAAACTATGTTATCTAATCATTTGGTGACATCAATTTTGTGTGAAAATACGTATTTACCGTTTCATTTTTTCATCAATTCTTTCACTCTCCTCTTTCCTCTCTCCTCTCGATACAAATTCTCTATTTCTTGAAAAATTCAACACCAACTTTCTCTCTCTTCTTTACTCACCATAAAAATTCCTAAATATTTATTGCTACCTCCCTCCTTATCCCTTTTAAGACGCCTCTTCCCATTCTCATTCTTTTTTCTTCACCTTCCCTGAAAAAACCAACAAGCTGCTCCATTTACGATTTTTTTCCGATGAGAGACAGATGCCGAGAGCGGGAGCGAGAGCACCAAGAGCGGGAGTGAGAGAGTGAGAGCTTTTTTTGTGTGTTTTGTTTTTTTCTTTTTTATTTGGGGGGTTTCTATGAACTCCTTGTTCTTGATGTTCTTTGTTGAGTTTTTATCTCTCTTTGAGGCGTGACCCCGTTCTTTTGTGTTGTGTATTTGTTATTTTGTTTTTTGAATTTGAAGGTCCAGAGTCAAGATTGAGAGAAGATGGATGGAGAATAAGGAAGAGAGAGGAGAGAGAAAAGTGCATGCCTTCAAAATCAAAACAAAAAAATCCAGAATCAAAGGAAAACAAAAAATCGAATGGAATGTGGTGTAGAAAAAATGGAAGAAAAAGAGGCGGAGAGAGAGGAGTGCACGTCCTTGAAGAATGTGATAGTGAAAAAAATAAATCACACAGAGAAAGAAGATCTGGAAGAATGAAGAAGAGAGAGAAAGAGAGAGTTGAGAGGAAGAGGAAAGAGCAGAGAAAATGAGAGATAAAATAAGAAGGGGTAATTTGTAATTTCACGCAAAAGTGACGTAAGTAAATTGTTAGAAAACATAAAATTTGGAATTGGGGATACATTTCATAGTTGGCCTTTGAAAAAGCTATTTAGCCCAATTTCCCTTTATTTTTGTAGGGTTTTGTTCTATTTCAAAACACATTCTTTAATTTCTTTTTTTTCATTTATTTTTACCAAAAAGAATAAACCCAAACTAAACCAAACAGGTTAATGTAGAGGGAGAGATTTTTCCTAATTTCTTTTCCTTAAAAGAGAACCCATTTTAAAAAGGTTGGGAAATTTATTTTAGAGATTAACTAAATTAAACCCGAGAATTAAATTCAAAAGGGAGTAAATCAAATTTCCAAAACCTCGAATTAAGATTTAAATAAAATCTCTTTCCAAAAATTATATAACATAATTTATCTAAATCCAATAAATAAACTTGATTCTGATTTACACAAAATTAAAACTCCAAAATAAGAAGTTCCAAGAATTTCATTAGACGAAAATGGAGAAATTCAAAGGCATAAATTAAAACTTAAAATAAAACTAACCCGAGGACGCGATGCATTATAGACTACCCACCTTTAAAAAAAAACTTTCATCCTCGAAAGTTCGAGGGTCGCACTACTCTAAACAGCGGGGCGTTACTAAAACTACCTAAAAATTCTACTTAAGAAAGAGAATTAACTTCAGCAACAAGACTAAACATTTAAACCACCACGTTTCCTCTACGCTACTCTGATTTCAACACTCATGAGAGCTTGAACAAACAAAACAACAACACTAAAGATTTAGTCAAAACTCAGATCCTTTACAGATAATCCATTTAATACCAACTTCACTTTATCCAAACTTCTCAAAGAAACCTTTACTAACCATAAACCATCCACGAAACGAATGTTAACATCTCAAATGGAAACGAAGCAAAAGCTAACTCAAGTTCAACTTAAACAAATGCATACATAAGTATCCTAAGAAGGTTATAGTCCCACAGTTCAAGTAGCTAACAAAATTAATGTTCTAACAAAAATAAGGAATTGACAACCTTAAAACATCATTTGATCATGAAACTTCACAATCAAATTATTAAACAATTATCAAGCTCAACCACCAAAGAAAACAACTCTAACTATCATATTCAAACTGTAAATTAACAATGGAACACTAAATGGTCTTTCTGGTCAAGTCTCCTCATCGCCATCACCATTCCAAGGAGTTAGCTCACTATCTGCAAAATCTGGGGGGAAAAAGAGGGATGAGTACAACCACGGTATCCAGTAAGCAACCCTTATTTGAAGGGTCACGCACAAACAACATGCTTATCACAGAAAGTTCAAATGACATGCATAATAAATCATCATGATTTTCATAATAAAATATAAACATAACTAACCATGCAACCTACATGCCAAACCCATCATCGCACCTCAATTCACAAGCTTGTTTTCTTGTTTCTCAAAGACTTACTCCTTCGAGTCGTATCGACCCTTGACCTTTGTACCCAGGGTCTCGACACTTCTCTACTGCATTTCACATTCGACCC